TGAGTTTTAAATCCATACGATTTTAAAGTTGCATGGCTCCGGTGGCTTCTTAATATCGGAAGAGCGTTCCAGACGGCCACATCGTCAAAATCACCACCCCCACCATCAACGTCAACATCCCTCACTTCCTCATTATGCAGCTACCTCCTCAACATGACCACCATCAACCATCGTCACCACCATCACGTGTGTGTGTGTACTGTACTTTGAACTTCTTTCACACCGTACGTAGTCAAACCGTGCTCATCGGAGGTGCGGGGGAAGGACAACGAACGAAGCACAAAAATCAGCTCTGAACAAATGAGTTGGTCAATCTCGATGACGATTTTAAAGTTGCATAGCTCCGGTGGCTTCCGAATATCGGAAGGAAGAGCGTTCCAGACGGCCGCAGAAGCGCATCCGCGCGATGCGGTGACCCCCCCCCCTCCCCCGTTTTTGTTAGACGGTTTAGCCAAAAGCCTGCTGCTGCTGCGAGAGGGACCGGAGTTTGCGTGATGGTTTAAATGACGCCTACAATTCAGCATCAGAGCATTTCTTTAAACTGGAGGAATCCGATGAGCTATGAAGCTCTTTTTAAACAGATGTCCAGTCGAGGCCGGTCAGAATGGTGCAACAACAACAACACGATAGAAGTGCAAAGGATGTGTTTGGTGGCGTTGGCCTTGAGCGGGAGTCGAACTTGAGGAACCTCCAGGTTCGTAGCGCAGCGCGCCAACCACTACAACCACCGCTCCCCACACAAAGACAACGACCCCCACACAAAGACAACGACCCCTCCACACAAAGACAACGACCCTCACACAAAGACAACGACCCCCACACAAAGCCAAAGACCCCGACACAAAGACAACGACCCTCACACACAAAGACAACGACCCCCACACGAAAACAACGACCCCCACACACAAAGACAACGACCCCCACACAAAGACAACGACCCTCACACAAAGACAACGACCCCCACACACAAAGACAACGACCCTCACACAAAGACAACGACCCCCACACACAAAGACCCTCACACAAAGACAACGACCCCCACACACAAAGACAACGACCCCCACACACAAAGACAACGACCCCCACACAAAGACAACGACCCTCACACAAAGACAACGACCCCCACAAACAAAGACAACGACCCCCACACAAAGACAACGACCCTCACACAAAGACAACGACCCCCACACAAAGACAACGACCCCCACACAAAGACAACGACCCTCACACAAAGACAACGACCCCCACACAAAGACAACAACCCCCCCCCACACAAAGACAACGACCCCCCTACACAAAGACAACGACCCCAACACACAAAGACAACGACCCTCACACACAAAGACAACGACCCCCACACAAAGACAACGACCCTCACACAAAGACAACAACCCCACACAAAGACAACAACCCCACACAAATACAACAACCCCCCACACAAAGACAACGACCCCCACACACAAAGACAAAGACCCCCACACACAAAGACAACGACCCTCACACAAAGACAACAACCCCACACAAATACAACAACCCCCCCCCCCACACACAAAGACAACGACCCCCACACACAAAGACAAAGACCCCCACACACAAAGACAACGACCCCCACACAAAGACAACCCCCCCTACACAAAGACAACGACCCTCACACACAAAGACAACGACCCCCACACAAAGACAACGACCCTCACACACAAAGACAACGACCCCCACACAAAGACAACGACCCTCACACAAAGACAACGACCCCCACACACAAAGACAACGACCCTCACACAAAGACAACGACCCCCTCACACAAAGACAACGACCCTCACACAAAGACAACGACCCACATACAAAGACAACGACCCCCTCACACAAAGACAAAGACCCTCACACACAAAGACAACGACCCCCTCACACAAAGACAACGACCCTCACACAAAGACAACGACCCACATACAAAGACAACGACCCCCACACACAAAGACAACGACCCTCACACAAAGTCAACGACCCTCACACAAAGTCAACGACCCCCACACACAAAGACAACGACCTCCACACACAAAGACAACGACCCCCACACACAAAGACAACGACCCCCACACACAAAGACAACGACCCCCACACAAAGACCCTCACACAAAGACAAAGACCCCCACGCACAAAGACAACGACCCTCACACAAAGACAACAACCCCACACAAAGACAACAACCCCCCACACAAAGACAACGACCCCCAAACACAAAGACAAAGACCCCCACACACAAAGACAACGACCCTCACACAAAGACAACGACCCCCACACACAAAGACAACGACCCTCACACAAAGACAACAACCCCACACAAAGACAACAACCCCACACAAAGACAACAACCCCCCCCCCCCCCCACACACAAAGACAACGACCCCCACACACAAAGACAAAGACCCCCACACACAAAGACAACGACCCTCACACAAAGACAACAACCCCACACAAAGACAACAACCCCACACAAAGACAACCCCCCCTACACAAAGACAACGACCCCCACACACAAAGACAACGACCCTCACACACAAAGACAACGACCCCCACACAAAGACAACGACCCTCACACAAAGACAACAACCCCACACAAAGACAACAACCCCCCCCCCCCCACACAAAGACAACGACCCCCACACACAAAGACAAAGACCCCCACACACAAAGACAACGACCCTCACACAAAGACAACAACCCCACACAAAGACAACCCCCCCTACACAAAGACAACGACCCCCACACACAAAGACAACGACCCACACACAAAGACAACGACCCTCACACAAAGACAACGACCCTCACACACAAAGACAACGACCTCCACACACAAAGACAACGACCCTCACACACAAAGACAACGACCCCCACACACAAAGACAACGACCCTCACACAAAGACAACGACCCTCACACACAAAGACAACGACCCTCACACAAATACAACGACCCCCACACAAAGACAACGACCCTCACACACAAAGACAACGACCCTCACACAAAGACAACAACCCTTACACAAAGACAACGACCCCCACACAAAGACAACGACCCACACACACAAAGACAACAACCCCCCCACACAAAGACAACGACCCTCACACACAAAGACAACGACCCCCACACACAAAGACAACGACCCCCACACAAAGACAACGACCCTCACACACAAAGACAACAACCCCCCCACACAAAGACAACGACCCTCACACAAAGACAACGACCCTCACACAAAGACAACGACCCCCACACAAAGACAACGACCCACACACAAAGACAACGACCCTCACACAAAGACAACGACCCCCACACACAAAGACAACGATCCTCACACACAAAGACAACGACCCCCACACAAAGACAACAACCCCCCCACACAAAGACAACGACCCCCACACACAAGGACAACGACCCTCACACAAAGACAACGACCCTCACACAAAGACAACAACCCCCCCACACAAAGACAACGACCCCCACACACAAGGACAACGACCCTCACACACAAAGACAACGACCCTCACACACAAAGACAACGACCCCCACACAAAGACAACGACCCTCACACAAAGACAACGACCCTCACACAAAGACAACCCCCCCACACAAAGACAACGACCCTCACACAACAAAGACAACGACCCCCACCCCGCTCCCTCCCCGTGTACCTTCTAACAGACTGTAACAATCTATATTTATAAGCTGTAACAGTTTGTTACGGGCTTCTCACACACACAAACGCGCCTGTGAGCTTTACAAATAACAATAACAATGACGGTGACGATGATGGTGGTGGTGGTGCGGCTTTGTTTGTTGCGTGACTTGTGAGGGGAGGAGTCCGAACGCTTCAAACAAAACCAGAAAAAAACTTTTACTGTAGCTTCCACCCCCACTAACTAACAACTACTACTAACTACCATTAACTACTACTAACTACCACTAACTACTAACTACCACTACGTCCACCGTGGGCTTTGTTCGTCCTCGAGAACGACAACGACGAGGAGGAGGAGAGAGAGAGAGAGAGAGGAGTGCGGTGTCTGTGTGGTGTGTGAGGGGAGGTGGAGGACAATCAAACCCCCATTTGCTTTGTTCCACTCTCCGCGATAGTTGTTGTTGTTGGCGGCGGCGTCGTTTTGTTTTGTTTAAAGGAGAGGAGGAGGAGGAGGGGAAGCCGGCGGGGACAAGTTTTGTGCGGTGGCGCGAGTGTGAGAGGGAGTGTGGGAATTCGTGAGGGCATCGACTGTGAGGTGATTAGTGAGGGGGACGACTGTGAGGTGATTTGTAAGGGGATTAGTAAGGGGGTCGACTGTGAGGGGATTAGTAAGGGGGACGACTGCGAGGTGATTAGTGAGGGGGGCGATTGTGAGGTGATTAGTAAGAAGGGCGACTGTGAGGTGATTAGTAAGAAGGGCGACTGTGAGGTGATGTGTAAGGGTGATTAGTAAGGGGGACGACTGTGAGTGGATTAGTAAGGGGGACGACTGTGAGGTGATTAGTGAGGGGGACGACTGCGAGGTGATTAGTGAGGGGGACGACTGCGAGGTGATTAGTAAGGGGACGACTGTGAGGTGATTAGTAAGGGGGGACGACTGTGAGATGATTAGTAAGGGGACGACTGTGAGGTGATTAGTAAGGGGGGACGACTGTGAGGTGATTAGTAAGAGGGACGACTGTGAGGTGATTAGTAATAGGGGCGACTGTGAGGTGATTAGTAAGGACGACTGTGAGGTGATTAGTAAGGGGGACGACTGTGAGGTGATTAGTAAGGACGACTGTGAGGTGATTAGTAAGGGGGACGACTGTGAGGTGATTAGTGAGGGGGACGACTGTGAGGTGATTAGTAAGGGGGGCGACTGTGAGGTGATTAGTAAGGGGGCGACTGTGAGTGGATTAGTAAGGGGGACGACTGTGAGGTGATTAGTAAGGGGGGACGACTGTGAGGTGATTAGTAAGGGGGCGACTGTGAGTGGATTAGTAAGGGGGACGACTGTGAGGTGATTAGTAAGGGGGACGACTGTGAGGTGATTAGTAAGAGGGACGACTGTGAGGTGATTAGTAAGGGGGACGACTGTGAGGTGATTAGTCAGGGGGATGACTACGAGGTGATTAGTAAGGACGACTGTGAGGTGACTTGTAAGGGGGACGACTGTGAGGTGATTTGTAAGGGGGATGACTGTGAGGTGATTAGTAAGGGGGACGACTGTAAGGGTGATTAGTAAGGGGGACGACCGCGAGGTGATTAGTAAGGACGACTGTGAGGTGATTAGCAAGGGGGACGACTGTGAGGTGATTAGTAAGGGGGACGACTGTGAGGTGATTAGCAAGGATGACTGTGAGGTGATTGGTAAGGGGGACGACTGTGAGGTGATTAGTAAGGACGACTGTGAGGTGATTGGTAAGGGGGACGACTGTGAGGTGATTAGTGAGAGGGACGACTGTGAGGTGATTAGTAAGGGGACGACTGTGAGGTGATTAGTAAGGGGGGACGACTGTGAGGTGATTAGTAAGGGGGACGACTGTGAGGTGATTAGTAAGGGGGACGACTGTGAGGTGATTAGTAAGAGGGACGACTGTGAGGTGATTAGTAAGGGAGACGACTGTGAGGTGATTAGTCAGGGGGATGACTACGAGGTGATTAGTAAGGACGACTGTGAGGTGACTTGTAAGGGGGACGACTGTGAGGTGATTTGTAAGGGGGATGACTGTGAGGTGATTAGTAAGGGGGACGGCTGTAAGGGTGATTAGTAAGGGGGACGACCGCGAGGTGATTAGTAAGGACGACTGTGAGGTGATTAGTGAGGGGGGCGACTGTGAGGTGATTAGTAAGGACGACTGCGAGGTGATTAGTGAGGGGGGCGACTGTGAGGTGATTAGTAAGGACGACTGCGAGGTGATTAGTAAGAGGGATTAGTAAGGGCGACTGTGATGTGATTAGTAAGGGCGGCTGAGGTGATTTGTAAGGACGACTGTGAGGTGATTTGTGAGAGGGACGACTGTGAGGTGATTAGTAAGGAGGACTGTGAGGTGATTTGTAAGAGGGACGACTGCGAGGTGATTTGTAAGGGGGATTTGTAAGGGGGACGACTGTGAGGTGATTGTAAGAAGGGCGACTGTGAGGTGATTTGTAAGGGGGATTTGTAAGCGGGGCGACTGTGAGGTGATTTGTAAGGGGGACGACTGAGGTGATTTGTGAGGGCGACTGTGAGGTGATTTGTAAGGGGGATTAGTAAGAGGGACGACTGTGAGGTGATTTGTAAGGGGGATTAGTAAGAGGGACGACTGTGAGGTGATTTTAAGGGCGACTGTGAGGTGATTTGTAAGGGGGATTAGTAAGAGGGACGACTGTGAGGTGATTTGTAAGGGCGGCTGAGTTGATTTATAAGGACGACTGCGAGGTGATTAGTAAGGGGGACTGTGAGGTGATTGTAAGGGCGACTGTGAGGTGATTGTAAGTGGGGACTGTGAGGTGATTTGTGAGGTGATTGTAAGTGGGGACTGTGGGGGGCAAAGGTGACCGCCCCCCCTCCACCTCGCCCAAAACACCCTGACGATCCGAGTTTGTAAGTGTAACAAAAGGGCGGGAAGAGGAGCGAGGTGAAGTAAGAGGCGCGAGTTGAGCCACTCGGGAGTTCAGGAGGAGAGAGAGAGAGGGTGGAGGTTTGGGTTGCGCGCTCCCACCCGACGAGCCCGCGGCCAATCTTCTCAGGCAAGGTCGGAGGGCTCGACGAGGCCCTTAGGTCGCCCACCGCAACAGCAGCAGCAGCCGCCGCAGCAGCCGCTGCCGCTACCGCAACGACTTGGGGGTTGTTATCGTTGTGGCTGCCGCCTTGCTTAACTCGCTGACCCCAACGCCGTCGTCGCCGCCGCAGTCGCCACACGCGGTGAAGGAGAGGCGCGATAAGAGCGGCAGAGCAGAGAGCGAGAAGAAGAAGGAGGAGGAGGAGCGAGGCGAGATGGCGGAGGGCGCGATCATCGAGAACATGAGCAGCCGAAAGCTGCTGGCGGTGGGCGCCGTGGTGCTGCTGCTGCAGACGCTGGCCTTCCTCGTCGGCGGACTTATCTGTGAGGAACTCGCGAGGATTTGGGGGTGGTTGTTGTTTTTGTTGTTCGAGTTTGAATGGGGGCTAAGGTGCACCTAGCCTGGCACTAAGCGCCGCGGTGATTCTACCGCTACTTTTGTTGTTGTTTGGGTGGTTTGGGAGAGAAAGAGAGGGGGAATTGCACATTGAGATGGGGGTGTAATAATGTTTAAACTGGATATACTTATCGTGATTATCGGAATGTTTTATTTAGACGGGAAGGTAGGAATCTGAAGAGCTATAAAGCTCTTCCTCACCCCCGCACAGATGGCCAGTCGGGGGCAAGGAGGTCAGAATCTAACAACATCAAACAATGCACAAAAAAAACGTGTCCGAGTTCAAAGTATAGCAGATGTGAACAAATAATTTAACGAAACATATACAAAACTTTTTTTTGTTAAAGTATCTTACCAGGATAAGGGTTCCACTTGGCTTATTAGCTTCTTTTTTCAGAAGCGACCTGGCCACAAATGATAGCGCAACGAAAATGGGCTTATCGTGTAAGAAATGTATAGCAGCAAAAGACCAAGATAACTCTTTATTGTTTGTTAATTTTAAAGTTGGGGGCGGCTGTGGGGAGGCGTCTTATCCAGTACTGTCGTCTGGTTATGTTTGTTTTGCGTGTCCGTGTGTGACCAGATTCGTAGAACTTTATTATTGTCTTACTTTAAGGAGCGTCTTATAAAATACGGATAAAACGGTAACGCATAATGAGGTGTCAGCTGATGCGTCTGTTGGTAAAAAAAAATGTAAATTAATCTTGAGGTAAATATATACGCAGTAAATGTATCCGAGATAAAGGGGAGGTCAATGTGTGGTCAATGGAAATGCATCTGGGGTCAATGGAGGCGTCTTCTTGGTAAATTGGAGGTGAAATTTCGATTCAAAGCTTTCGTGACTGCAAGGATTCATCTTCTTTGGTTCTTTCGGTAAAGTCACGTAGAATGAGAATAAAATAACACAATAAAATTCTCACGACGTTTCGGCCACAACACAAGTGGCCTTCATCAGGTGAAGGGACGAGACTGTCTGGAGGACAGCGCTGGACAGCGCTGGAGCGAACCCAGCACTGTCCTCCAGACAGTCTTGTCCCTTCACCTGATGAAGGCCACTTGTGTTGTGACCGAAACGTCGTGAGAATTTTATTGTGTTATTTTATTATTTTATTATTTTATTCTCATTCTACGTGACTTTACCGAAAGAACCAAAGAAAATTGGAGGTGCATTCGAGAAAAGGTTGTTCGGTGTAAGACCTAGCAGAGAATGATGGCGACGTCATAAGAGATTGGTGCCCGAAAGATGTGGCACTTGATGGAGCATATTGGCACTACGACCACAGAGGAAAGTGGAAACATGACGAAATGTGCAGTGGGACACCTTACGGGGCCATCTTGCCCCATGGGTCGCTGATGGTGACAAATGGAGAAGCAGCCAACGTCTCTTGAGGTCACGGAGGTTGATCTGTGGTCAGTGGAAATGTGTCTCGTAGTTTGACCCGTAGTCACTGGGAATGTTCCAGGTATCTAAGCTAAGGCAGGGTTGAGCCTGGATTTTCCTTGGATATGGGTGGGCCCACCTTGGAAGTGCACAAGCAGGTTTTGCCATCGGGCTGCTCCGATGCTGCCACATAGGATGCTGCGGCGTCGCCTTCACCAACCAGCGCAGACTGCCACGGTGGCGAGATATTAACTCCCTCGCATGGTATACAGGAGGTCGTGGTGGGTTCCATCCAGACCCTGACGCCTGCTCTATATTTGGAGTTTGCGTACGTTTCTCTCTGCCTGTGGTCGCGTGGATTTTTCTCTGGGTTCTCCGGCTTTTCCCTCCGCATTTAGAATCAACGTCACGCGTTTAGAGTATTTGGTCGATATACATTTCCACCTGACGATGAGCCACTTCGTTGAGCTATGCTTTGTGATCGCCAGGTCGTTTCTGAAGAAGAGCTACACACAGCTCAGTGGGGCATCACCTGGTCAAATAACGATTGTTTAGTTTTAGTTCGAAATATGGGCAAACAACTCCCATGACTGACACAGTTTGGTGCGGCCTTCATTCAACGCTCTATGCCATGTTCTGGGTCAACGACACCGGAAATCGTGGCCCTTCCGTTTAGCTCTCTATCCATGATATTTACTCAAGAACTCTTCATTAGATGCGCTCAGTTGCATCCAGTTGTTCAAATTTCAGGTGTACTTAAGCCGCTGTCTTCCCTGGATTTTTTTTGTACCTAGAATTTGTCTCTGTCAAAATGTATTCGGTGTCTTGTTTCCTGTATTACTTGTCCGAGAAGCAAATTAGGTGCATCTAGCACTTGGATTGATAAACGGACTAATTATATTTTAGATATTTTTAATGAGGACTCTGGCCTATTCTGGATTTCGGTACAAAAAATATTGCTTGGGTGAATGCTGGTATCGTTACCATGGTAATCTTATAATTATTTTTTTGCAGCCTGGTGGCAGACATTCAGTGATCAAAGATGCACATTAGAAGAGTAGTGGGCTTCTTGGTCTGTTTCTGTTGACCTCTTGGGGGTGCAAAAGCCGAGTGAAATTTGCATGAAACAGCAACATGCTAACAGTTGTATAAATTGTAACACATGGGTGTGTGGTAAGGATGGGGTTTTTGGATGTTAAAATGTAATATTTTTGTATTTTTAGGTCAAATGTCAGAATTATTTTTTTTAGAAAGTAACATCATTCACATTGCTTAATAATTTAAACCTATCTTCGTGATAATAAATTGACATCACCTGATTGCATGGATACAAATTTTGTCAGAAAACGTGATATCACATTTTCAGTTTAAATCCAGGCCCGGTTTTTGGATGTTTTTATCGGATGAATACAAAAATTTTGAATTCTTCCCTGCATGTATAGCTGTTGCTGTGTGTAGATACCAGCTGTGACTTTCTTGTATTCTAGATTTTAAAAATTCTAGATTTTTATCAGTTTTCGTTTCTTTAGAACTGCTTTTTGTGTTTAGTTTGTTGCCCTTCCCAGCACCTCCGATTATCATGGTTGGCTACATACTGTACGAAAGAAGTTCAACATATATACCTACTTGTGTAGGACCACTGTGTGTATGTGATTGAAGCCGTCAGGTTAAGAGGAACCTGCTTTGCTGCAGCCGTAGTATCTGGGAATTCTTGAGACTCAAGTGGTTGCAGCTGTGAAAGTGTACCTCTGGGCCCAAAAGCACATTGTCTGCATATCTGTGGCTACAGGGCTAGCCGTGAGGAATGTAGCCGTGACGTGTACCAGTGTAGAGTTTGTGTGGCTGTGGGAGTTGCTTTTAGGTGAAGTCACGGAGAGTAGCTGTGCACATCGCAAAATCAAATTATGGTCTGTTCTATAACGCGTGTTGTTGTTTTCACAACGCAAATTTTATGTAATGCGGCGAATGTATTAGGGAGCACTTTTTTTTAATAGCACGGATGCGAATTGGATAAAACGCGATCGAGTGAACGGAACTACGTTGCGCGAGTAGGAATACGCGAGTAGGAACACGCGGTTGTGCGGCTGCCTCGGCGTAGCATCACACGAGGCGGGATGCTGTTGGATGCTTCTAGATGCTACCCGCGTGCCGCAGTTTTTGTTCACACGCATCACACGTATTATTGCGGACTGTGCTTTGCCCTATATTATTTATTATGACGCGATTTCAACTTAACGCGGTGTTCCTAAGAAACGCAACTACTACCGCGTTATTGGAGAACAGACTATTTGAATGCAGCTTCCAGAAAATCAAGGTGCCAGCCATTTGGACCTGAGGCATGCAAGGACAAGTTAGGGGATAGGCAAAGCACAATCCCCAAGTCTCAGCTTAGCCCCCATCCCCTTAGATGGTGATGCTGTTGGCCACCTCGTCAGGGCTTGGATAGGGATACTGACAGGAAGGGTTTTGTATTCCTGCATGACCTTAAGGGTCAGGATGAAGTCGCACCTCCGATTAGCAGGGTTGGCTTCGTAAGGTGCGAAAGAGGATCAACATCTTATCTTAAAGGAATTTATAAAGCGCCTTAATCAAGGTGCCTTAATCAAGGCGCTTTACGAAGAATTAAGAATGGCACATATGAATGTAATGGTGGAAATTAGGTGAATGAAATGGATGAGAGGAAGCAATGAGGGAAAATCTGTGATGCGTGAATTCGGTGAAAGTGAAGTTGATGATAGTAAACGATGATGAATGGATGAATGAATGGGGAATGAGTGATAGACATCTAATGAGAATATGAAGAGGGAAAAGTAACGGTGGTGGTTATGAGGGGGAGATTAAGGGGTCGTGGGGTGAGCTACGGAAAATAGGTGAGTTTTGAGTGAGGAGCGGAAATTAGTGAACGAAGGTGACTTTTATGTGGAGAGGTTTTTGTTCCAGTGAAGGAGGGTGACAAGAGATTAAGAGCGAAAGCGTGGATTGAACGCAAGGAGGAGGAACAGAGAGAGACGGCAAAGACTGAGAATGTATAAGGGGCGAGAAGGCGACACGTAGAAAGATGCAAGAGTGGCAAGATACGGTGGGGGCAGGACCATGAAGGGATTTGTAGACCAGGGTGAGGAATTTGAACAGGCAATGGTAGTATGAGAGGACAATACAGACAAGTCCTCCCCACACTGTCAGAGTTATTTGACCAGATGTCACCACCCACGCTGGTCAGTGTGGGTTGGTAAAGGTGAAGATCATGGAGTAATTTGGCTGCTAGACATTTCCATGCGATGAGCCACTTCGTTGAGCTGTCATTTGTGGCCAGGTCACTTCTGAAAAAAAAGCTGTACAGCTCGGTGGGCCTTACCTGGTAAAATCTAAAATATTTTAGCTTTTATGGTTTGTGGGAGCATAGCAAGTATTGCACTACCGTCTGCTGCCCACCACGAAATCCCGCAGCCGATAACAACATTTGGTGTATGGTGATCACCCATTCAGGCATTATCCAGGCTCATCCTCTCCGCTTCTGAGACTTGACGAGATTGTGCACATTCCAGGCGATGTGGTCATAGGCTGTAAAGTGTAGCAGTGGGGAGTTTTCGGTGTGGCTGTGAAGTGGCTGCAGTTCTAGGAGCACATGTTAAAGATGAAGCTGCACAGTATCTCTAGAAATGTAATTGTACGGTGGCTGGCAGGCAAAAAAAATTAAGCTGCAGAATGGCCGCAGTGAGTGGGCACAGCAGTAGAAGGGGAGCAGTAGATTGCGTGGCTGCAGTTGCTTGTTCATGCGCGTGCATTGCCCAGTGTCTGTTTTCATAGTCTTATCTACGTGTGCGCTCATTACAGCCGCCTCGCTCAACGCGTATGCGCATTCGCACGCTCGCTCCTGCTGCCACCGCACTTGTGTCCGTGCACTCACGCATGCACGTGTGCGCTTGCTGATATTTTGCTCTCATGCATCCCGACATTACATCGGTGTATTCGCGCGTGCGTGCACGCATCTGTCCGCCTTGCCCGCAAGCCAAACGTGCACCTAGTTTATTTTTCATCCCTCGGGAGGTTCTCTCGTAGTAGAAATAACCTTGCAGATGTCGCTCCTGAGTGTGGAAACGCGCCTAATGCACCGCAGCGGTGCCCTTAGCAAAATTCTTATAGCGCCGGTTTCTCTATGACTTTTAAGTGGCGAGTCTGGAAACGCAAAACAGGTGGGTCTGCTGAAAATGCTTACGAGCAAGTGTTCCGTCATCGCTTGATGATGATCTTCGTTGACGTTATCGCGGTCACTCGGCCGTGCAACGCTTCATTTGCTGGCATCGCCACATCTGACGTCACGCACTTGCTGGCATTAACCACACGGGTCCCAGGCACTTTTCACTGGTGGCCAGGTCACTTTTGAAAAATAAGCTAATACCTCGGTGGGCTTTACCTGGTAGGATGGGGATGGTTTCGTTTTAATTGTATGTGTTTGGGTGATCCGTTTACCTTTCTTGTACATTGCACTGCTATCATGTTTTTGTATTGTTTGTTGTTGTAACGTACTTACCCCGTGCCGTTACTGGACATCTGTGAAAAAGAGCTTTATAGCTCATCGGATTCCTCCAGTATAAATAAATATTCTGATTCTGAACTTGCAGACGTCTCGGAACGTGAAATGGGACAAATCGTAATTGCCAAATGGGGTCCCAAACTCAACACCACCACTGTCGTCACCTCCCCCACCTCCCCTGCAGCACCGAACCCGACTGCCGCCATGCGCTACCTGGCCACAAAGTGCGTGCGTGAGCGCGACTCGGGCCCCAACTCGTGGCTGGAGCCGTGGGGACCGGCGGCATGCGTGAAGCTGCGTGATCTGGACGAGGCGACGGAGCGCAGGATCGAGGCGAACCGCATCGTCTTCAGCATCCACATGCCCCACCCGGGACTGGAGATGAACGCCTGGTTCCAGTACCTGCTCGTCGTCCTCGAGTTCGACATCCAGTACTGGAAGCACAACCCCATCGGTACACCCCGCAGCCGCCGTGCCTCGCCGTGCGTTTTCACGCGTGTAGTGTATGGGTGCTGCGGTGGCGAGATGTTATCTCCCTCGCCTGGCATGCAGGAGGTCATGGGTTTCAATCCCGACCCCTGACGCCTGATTTGTATTTGGATAATCTTTGGTTCTTTCGGTAAAGTCACGTAGATAGAAAAATAATTATGAAAATAAAGTGAATAAAAATATCACGACGTTTCGAGCGCAACACAAGTGGTCGTCATCAGGCAAAGGAGTTAGCCTCTAAAGGCAAACTGTTTATAAAAAGTTTGGGAATGGGCGTAGCCCAAGTGTATCAGCAGCACCAGGAGCATGGGCGGTGCAGCAATGCCAATGCAGCAACAATACCTATGGAGTAGCAATGCCAATGCAGCAAAGGGCTGCTAAGAAATCCCTGCACCCCACTCCACACACCACACTGCTGATGGTGGAGGTTGATTGACAAGAAAACACAAGTCAAGTCATGACCCAAAGTGGTTGATGACATTTCCAATGATTGCCGAGTCTATAACTTTCCTCTCGGTTGAAACTGTCTCTGTGTCTGTATATATATGGATGGCTTCATGAATTAATCTTTGTTGATAGCCAGTTGGCTTGCAAAGTACCATCATCTTAGAGAAATAAATTTCGTGTGAGCCAGCCACATTAAAATAATGATCAGCCACGGCAGAAGTATTGGTCCTACCGTGTTTCAAATGTGCCTTATGTTCACGAACACGGTCCGAGACATGTCGCTTAGTTTCCCAAATGTAACTGCTGCCGCAGATACAGCTTAGTTTGTAGATGCCGGGATATTGCATGTCAGGAATCTTGTCCTTCACAGATGGGATCAGATCACGAATTTTATGTACTTTGTTAAATCGGACCTGGATCTTGTGTTTGTTCATGATTTCGGAAATCATTTCCAAAATCATTTCTAAAATCCAAATTATTTCCAAAATCCAGCACCCCTACAGTCTGTTAAGGCTAGTACGGGGGATCTTTGTCTTTGGTGTGGTTTAGCGGTTAGTGCACTCGGCTGCGAACTTGGTCAATTGACGTGCACGAATCTTAAATATTCTATTCGTACACGTACAACTCTATGCATGTATTATAAGCGGAAGAATTGAATTCACCCAATCAATTGATGTATCGATGTAGGTTTTCATGGCTCGATGTCTGAGAAATGCTCTTAAAATGGCCTTAAAACTACTCTTCATACGTAAAAAAAAGAGTAGCTTTTTAAGAGGTTTTCTCAAATTGATTGTATCGTCATTACAAGCCGGGCACGGAAAGGGGAGCGATTGCAATGGGACAAGGGAGAGTCGGTGCTAGCGGCGTGATGTTGTGCGTGCCTGGCCAGTGGACAAGGCCGAGGTGACGCTGGAAGTGAAGATGGGATACAAGGACAGCCACGCGGACAACTGGACGGAGCTGGCGCGCTCGGTGGAGCATCGGCGCCTCAACTGCCAATTCAGCCACACCATGGTGAGGTGGTGGGCAGTGGTGGTGATGGCGGTAGCCACCCACCCCCTTCGTGTGACGTTCCGGCCTTAATAGGTGCTCGCGAACTGCATATGCCCGGATAGTCTGTTTAAGGCTCTACAGGTGGTTGTAATGTCTTTAGTGGTGGTAATGGAGGTGGTGGTGGTGGTAATATTTGGCACAGTAGGGGGCACAGCTGGTGCATCTGCCAGTCATCTCAGTCAGTCAGCCCACGGTAGTTGGGTCTGTCCCGTGACCTGTCGGCAAGCCTTTGACACTTCACCTGGCCTCAAAGTGCACCTTGCCTGGCACAGGCGCCGTGGTGATGTCACCGCCACTTAGTGGCGAATGGCAGCTGTTTTTGTTGTTGGTGATGGTGGCAGCGGTGGTGGGTAGTGATCATGAAAGTTGAGAGGCACCTGCCTTGATCCTGCAGTGTGAAGGCAAGAGTTAGTGGATTATTTAGACGATTGTAAGACTCCCAAATCGGTCAATAGAGGGTAATGTTTCTGATGGAGAAGATGGTGTGGTGGTGTTAATGAATATAATGGTGGCTGTTGGAAATGGTGGTGGCTGTGATGGAGATGGTGGATTTTGTATTCAGAATGGAAGTGGTGATGGTAGTGGTTGATGGAGAAATTTTTTTATGTACGGGGAAGGTAGTTGCGATGATGAGGGCATAGTGCTGCTGGTGTCATGAACACAATGTTGATGATAATGGTGGTGATTGCAGTGGTGGTGGTGTTGGTAATGGTGGTGATGGCAATGCATGGTGGCTGTCATGGAGAAAGTGGGTGATTTATTAGTGGCTGATGGTCTTGGGTAATGGAGGCAGTGAATAATGGGAGTGGTGTTTTTTTATGGAGATGATGGTGGTGATGGAGGTGATTGGTGGCGGTAAGGGAGAAAATGTTAACGGTGACGAAGTTGACGGTGATGTTGGCTGTGGCACCATTTGTGTTTGTGATTCAAGTGTTGGTTGCGATGAAGTTTACTGTGGTTTTCAATGCTCTGCAACTAAGATAGAAAGCATTTATATATTATATCTGTACGTTAAGCACGTCAGCTTTCACGACCAATTTGATATCTGTCCATTTGGTCGGCTGTCTGTAATGGGAGAGGCGCGTTAACTATTGTAAAGATGATCTAATGTGAACAAAACTTCTAGTATAAAGTGGTGTTTCTATTAAAAAGTTGCCCGATATATATAAAAAAAACTTTCCAAGCGAAATGGTTAACCGAAAAACCTGGAGGCTAAGATGCAGCGCTAAAACGACGTGCCCCGGCATTCCAGCCCTGCCAATGGAGGCGCGTTCCCATTGGCAAACCCGCTATCCCGAGCACGATCACTGCCGTTACCACCGGCAACTAAATACTCGCCGAGGACAAATGTACGTTGGAAACGGTCGCACAATCCACCTGGCTTGCGCGTTGTTATTTTTTTCCCCCCGCTTGTTTTTTTTCTTTCTCTCACCGCTGCCTCGCCCACCGTAACCATCGCCGCCAATTTCGTCACCATTCAGACGTCAGATAACGAGGGCCGCCTGTATGAGTGCGAGATGCTGCCGCTGCTGGAGCTGGGCTCCATCGGCCACAAGTATTACCTCGTCAACATGCGCCTGCCGACCAGCGAGCAGCGCAACATCAACATGGGCATCGGCAAGATCCTGGACATCAACCTCACGGTGCGCACAGCACACGCCCAGGGGGATGTTGGCTGGGGGGGGGGGGCGGCACGGGCTATGCCGGACGCTCTTGCTTGTTTGACACGTGTGACGTGGTCGTGGACGTTACAGGGCGTCTCTGCCTTCTGTTACGCGTGCGCTCGTCATATGTTCGTGATAACGTGCGGGTCAACGTGCACCCACGAGATGGCCGGCGCATGTGCAAAAGTGTGGACCATCGCGTAGACCACACAGTAGTCTGTGGTCACTAACAAACATTAGGCCAAGACAAAGATCCCCGTATAGCTTTAACAGGCTGTTGGGGCAAGTGCTGAAGGCCTGCACGGCACACGAGGGGGTGGGTGGCCAGCACCACGCCTGGCCGCCTTTGTCTCCCCAGTGGCGACGTTAACACACCGTGCCAGGTACTCATTTGAGGCTGAGTCGGCCTAGGGAAGGCCAAGGACCAGTGCAGATTTTCGTCACTGGTGTTGGCCTTGAGTGGAAATGCAACTCGTAGCGCTGCGCCCTAACTGCTGCACTACTCCCCACACACATGGACACGCGTCCCTACACATACAGTGCCCCAACCTGTGAGCCCACACACCAACACAAACCAATACGCAGACCGGCACACTCCCAACGCATGAACCTACTTTCACACAAAGACATTGACCAAAAGCGCATTGCGGTAATGTTGTATTCCTATTTTGGTTGTAACAGCGGTGGTGTTGCTGTGTAGTACTGCTGTATTGTAATTCTAGTAGTGCTGTATTGTAGTTATGGATCTGATTATTATTGTGATACCTGTGGTGTTGTGCTAATGTGTTGCTGTACTATAGTTCTAGTAGTGCTGTATTGTAGTTGTGGTTGCGATTATTATTGTGAAAGCTTCGCTTCTGTGTTGCTGTATCGTAGTCACGGTGGGCGATTATTATTAATGCGATACCTGCTGCGGATGTTGTTGTTGTGCTGCTGCATCGCTGCACATGCAGGGCATCCACCAGAACGGCGGCTTCACGCAGGTGTGGTTCGCCATGAAGACCTTCCTCACTCCGCTCGTGCTCGTCACGCTCGTCTGGTTCTGGAGGCGCCTGTCCCAGCTGGCCCGGCCGCCCGTGCTGCTCGAAAAGCAAGGGACCCCCGTTCCGTGCCTCCTGGACACGCACGCACGCACGCACACACAAGAAATAAAAAGACAAAGCTCCATCCGTTATAGGCCGGTGTTCTAAATTGCAAGGCCCACGGGCCACTGGCCTTTCGTCCAGCCCACTGATGTGCGGCTCCCCGATAATAGAGGCGCCACAGTTGCGAGATGTTAACTACCTCGCCAGTTAAACAGAAGGCCGTGACGCCTGTATATTTGGAGATTGCATGTTCTTCCCCTGTGGTCGCTTGGATTTTTCTCGGGGGGCTCTCCAGGTTTTTTCCCTCCACAATTAGAAACGCGCTTCTGAAAAATAGCCATATAGCTCAGTGGGCCTTACCCGGTAAAGTAGAAATGGTGAATACACAAATGTGAAAACACCCTCATCATGCTGTCAAACGGCAATGGTTTCAAATGTGTGGCGGCCCTCAAACTGATATTGCCTTATCGGCGAAAGTGGCCCCCCTCTGGAAATTAGTGAAGAACGCTGCGTTATAGCCTTTCACAGGCTGTCGGAGCAGGTTGCTGTTCGTGAGCGCCTATGCAGGCCGGAACGGCACATGAGAGAGGGCATTGTGTGGCCAGCACCACGTCGGGCCGCCTTTGTCTCCCCAATGCAATTTTTACACGTCACAACAAGGTGCTCATTTACTATTTTTATTTTACCGGGTAAGGCCCACTGAGCTATGTAGCTCTTTTTCAGAAGCGACCTTGGCATCACAAATGATAGCTCAAAACGAATTGGGCTTATCTTGTGGAAATCTACACAAGTAGTAACATACTCTACAAACGCACGTATTACTATGGCCGCCTGCAGGATGATCTTGGCGCTGGGCGTATCGATGACGATGATTAACCTCCCTCTGGAGTGGCTTTCCGTGGGGCTCAACTGGACGTGGATGCTGCTGTTTGGAGACATCCGGCAGGGCTTGTTCTACGTCGTGCTGCTCTCCTTCTGGATCATCTTCTGCGGGGAGCACCTCATGGTGAGCGACTGAGACGGAGAGAGGGAGGGAATGCCTGCAGCGTAACGATTTCTTGATTTAAAATCTGATGAATCGACTCACTGCGGCGTGCATCGGACGTGAAATTACGCACGCACCGTCCGCTTGATGGCGGACGTTTAAAGATCCCATGGCGGCGTTTGTAAGAGTAGTCGGCCACTGCGTGCCGGCGTCGTGGTAAAACTGTTTCCACATTTGAAAAGTGACCTGCAAATTGTTCATTTGGGATTGTGCACGACAGCAATTCGCTCCCTACTTGCGAGAACTTGGAAGGACCCTCTGGAAAAAGAGTTGTGAGGCTTCGGTAAAGAAACAAACAAACAAGCATGATGATGATAATAATGCAACATATAATGACTCTATAGCAGACTTCACTTGGTCAGACTCCACTTGAAGGGATCTCAGAGGTACGTATGTTCATGTCCACTTCTGTGAGCTATCCTTGAGCACAGAACGTTGCACTGCTCTGCGTGAGCTCTAAATGGATATTTCTTACTACAACACGACACGGATAGCACTGTGGAGATAACATTTGTGGCGGGGGGAGGAAATTAAAAATGAAGCAAAAGCTAAATAGGTTGATTTATACAACACCCTTTGAAAAGCTTAACATGTAGTCACTCTAAAGGGTTGGTCACACACCGTTCCCTTGTTTGTGGTGTTCCAGCCCTGGTCTGTTCTTGCTAACAGCGCTGGCTGCAACAGTTTGTCGGGCAAAACGTATGCATGTTGAACTTCTTTCACACCGTATGTAGCCAACCGTGCTAAATGTGGGACCTTTTTCTTTTGTCTGTGTGTGTAGCGGAAAACGCACTGCTCTATGAACTCGGGAAGCCGAGTTCGATTCACGCTCACGGCTAACGCCAGTGACGATTATTTGAACCGTTCTTGGGCCTTTCCTAGGTCGGCTCAGCCTCAAATGAGAACCTGGTTCGGTGTGTAAACATCACCACTAGGGAGACAAAGGCGGTCGAGGCGTAGTGCTAGTCACCAACCCCCCTCGTGTGCCGTGCCGGCCTTCGTAGGTCCCCACTTAACAGCACTTGCCCCCAACAGTCTGTGATGGGTATCTTTGTCTTTGTTGTTCAGGACCAGACTCAGAGAAACCGCCTTGGAGTTTACTGGAAGCAAGTGGGAGCCATCGCCTTCGGGTCCCTGTCCCTGTTCATCTTCGACATGTGTGAAAGGTGCCACACTCCCCCCCCCCCCACCGGCAGAGCCGACGCACGCCCTCTACGCAGCCTTTCGACCGCTCGTTTTCGTCGATAGTCAATCTCCCAAACTTTACTGGGCCTTACAACTCCCTTCCAGCGCTGCGAGATTCAAATTGCCGTGCTAAATTCACACGGCGCTCTTTCAGCGATTTATCTCGTGTGTGTATATATATACTTGGCCAACAAACTGTGCAGGTTTTTTTGCAATCCCTTGTTCTGAGAGTTTGAGGATCCTTACAGACACACAACGCCATGACGACAGTGGCTGCCTCTCGTCGGCTACGCTTTCGGCAACAACAGAAAACTTTCGGAGCTCGGGCGATTTTTTTTCCTCTTGGTCCTTGACCGTTAGATTTGGAACTCTGTGTCCCGGGAAGAACCTGCTGCGCCTGACCACTCAGATGATCCTATTTCAGAAAGAAATAAAACTCAAAAACCTACTTATTTTCTACGATATGTTTTGATAGACTTGAGATGTGATTTTATATACTTGTTTTTACCGTACGGTGCTCTAAAGCCCTTTGTTGGGTCTGCTGCGCCTTATAAAAACGTAAATAATAATAACTAGATCCTTTAGTAGATGATTTGCCTGGAGTGTTTGTGCAACGAAGGGCAGGTTTTTTCGTGGACTGCATCAGGGTTATATTAAACTGGCAGCCTGCCGGGCAGATGTAATCCGCAGAGGCTTTTGGCCCGTCGAAAAATGCGGCTCGCCGAGCCAAAACATTTCCAATGGGTGGGATGAGAGAACAACAGAGAGCCAAGTGACCCATTTCATGATGGACGTTATGGTGTCATGATACTAGGGAGGGACAGGTCAGAGATGTACAGTCTGTTTCTCCTGTAACGCGGGACGAGTTGCGTTCCCGAAGAACACCGTGTCATGGAAAAATCGCGTTATAATAAATAATATAACATAGAGTATGCAGGCTGAACAAAGACTGAGGCGCGTGGGTAGCATCTAGAAGCATCCAGCAGCATCCCCAATGCCTTGTGCGATGCTACGCTGCTGGCAGCCGTACGAGCGCGTGTTCCTTCTCGCGCGACGTAGTTCCGTTCGCTCGATCGCCGTCATATCCAATTTGCATCTGCGTTATAAAAAAAAGTGTTCCCTAATACACTCGTGGCGTTATATCCGATTCGCCTTCTGAAAACACGCGAGGGAAGTAGAGATGGACAGCAAGGAGATATTACATGGCGTGAGAGAATCCAATGATGAATTGAGAGAGAGAAGCAGATGTAGCGTGAAAGAGGCATGTATAGAGCAGTGTCCTTCATTGCAAGGCCCGTGGGGCCACTGGCGGCCCCTGGTGGCCTTTAGTGCGGCCCCTGACGTGCGGTCCCCTCGACAGTACACAAATGTGAAAATATCCCCCGGCAGCATGGTGCTGTCAAACCCCCAATGGTTGTAAATGTGTGGCGGCCCTCGCACACTGATGATGCCTTATCGGCGAAAGTGGCCCCCTCTGAAGATTAGTGAAGAACGCTGGGATAGAGTGTGAGAGAGAAGCATTGTATCGAGATGTACAGAATCGGAGAGAGAAAGCGAAACGGAGAATGTGAGACACACACAGCATACTTTACACGCCTTCCATGGCATTAAATAGCGTCCCTGATCTAACGTTCTATTTTTCTGATCCCACGATGAACATGACATCGAGATTTCACTGCGTGCGTGTATGTGGGGAGCGATGGTGTAGCGGTTCGCTCGTTGCATTATGAACCCGGTGACCCGAGTTCGATTCCCGCTCACAAGCAACACTGGTGATGAATATCTGAACCAGTCCCAGGCCCCTCCACTCAAATGAGTACCTGGTTCTGTGTGTAAACATCGCCACTCAGGAGACAAAGGTGGTCGGGCGTGGCGCTGGCCACCCACTCCCTCATGTGCTGTGCGGGCCTTCTTCATAGGTGCTCGCTCACAGCACTTAGTCAAACAGTTTGTTAAGGCTATATGGGGGGGGGGATCTCTGTCTTTGTGTGTGCATGTGTACCTGCATGTTTTGTGTGTGTGTGTGTAAAGTGGGGGGATGGTGCTCCTCTTTGTGTGTGCAGAGGTGTGCAGCTGACGAACCCATTCTACAGCATCTGGGCCACGGAAACAGGGAGCCACCTGGCTGTATCCTTGACGACGGCTGGATAACTGCCCTGGCCTCGCGGGCCTCGGCCGGGGCCGGCCGGAGTCCGTGTGCGTTTGTCTAACGGCTGTGTGCGTTTTGGGCGCGTTAACAAACACGCACTGACCACAATCAAACACAGGTTCATGCCAATCTTCCTCTGAGCCGAGGTAGTACAATAGTTAGACGTGTCAACTCTGTATGTATGTTGAATTTCTTTTTCACCGTACGTAGCTAACCGTGCCAATCGGAGGTGCGGGAATCTCGTGTTTACAGCCAGCCCCTGAGCCAGTGGTCGAGCTCTAGATTGCTATGGCAGAGGCGAGTCGACCCACAGGATAATGTGTCTTCGCCACTAAGTGGTACCTAATTTAGCGACCCCCCCCCCCCCGGAGGGATGATGGGGCTGGGTCACTCCCCGACCAGGATTTGAACTCGTACATTTTTTATAGCGAGTCGCTCACTTTTGCTGGGCAATCTGGCCTGTTCAATCAAACTTGTAGCAGTTCCGATACCCCCCACCCCATCCCCAATGATCCAATTAATACTTTCAATTCAGGATCACGATTCAAGGTCAAGATTGGATTTTTAAAAAAACTAACACGTGTCTTATTTTTTGTTTCATATATACAGCAATGGCCTGATTTACGTCTTCCCCCTTTTACGTAGTTTCGCAAATACGCCATCGTTTTATTATTAACACCGCTACCCGATGTTTGCATCGCCTCAACCCCACATGCAGTCACGTCACTGACAGCGTCATCGTCCGTCCTTTCTCGTTATCCGTCGCCTCTCAGCCTTCGCCTCCACCACCCACTACTACCCTTTAAACCGCTTCGATTGACGTCGTTTCGATATTCATCATCGCACCTTTCAGGAACGCCTTTTCCGACGTGCACCGGGGTATTACCGCATTCTGTCGTGTTGTTCTACTAGCGTAAATGTATATCTATGTCAGCGTACAATTTTCATTTAACATAACTAATGCTTTCATTAGACACATGATGCACGCATTGTGAGATGATAGATTTTCATGACGCGCCTCAAAATAACGTGCAAAAAATTATATTGAATTTATCCAAGATTGCCTCGCCATATCTGGACATGCCTGAGAGGGTCCTGAATTTGGTATATTTGGCCAATTCCTTGTCAAGAAGTAGTGTTAAGTGTGTGAGCAAACTGGAGTACACGAAGAAAACTCAGGCATAGGGGTGGACAGCACTGACCGATTCTCGAATCCGCTTGCTGTAATTTCCGTCTGCCGGTGCACTGTCACTCCGCCCGGCTCGATGTCAAAAGCACCGACTTCACATATGAAAGGGTTATGATTTCAAAATCCAGGTCTGGTACTGCACCTCGCACCGCCAGGTGTCCCCTTGTTAAACAAGAGACTCGCCTCGTTGCGTTCTCACCTGGTTATACATTTCAGCTATGTGTGCGGCGTGGAATGTGACGTTACTTATGGCGCGTTATGGCAGTGTCCTGGAAAGTAACTTGACTCAGAAATGAACACTGCTTGGGTCTCATGTCCGTACAGCCCGTAACCACATCCCTTGCAGTGTAACTGCAGATCACTCCGTTTTCGTGTCGTCTTCATTTTTGCTGCCCAACCTGCCTCGGTTCCATTTCCTTAACGGCGTCGTACCAGACGGCGTTCATCGTGCTGGCGGGCGTGTGCGCATGCCTCTACTTCCTCTTCCTCACTTTCATGGTCTACCAAGTGTTCCGCAACATCGGCGGCAAACGCTCCTTCCTGCCCGCCATGTCTCGCGTGCGACGGCTGCATTATGAGGTGGCGCTTTCACTCGCTCGCACGGATGCTTAGTAGCTCGCTAGCTCGCTCACTCCCCACGCTCGCTCGTTCACTCGCTCGCACGGATGCACGCTTACTAACTCGCTCACTCGCACGCTTTCTTGCGCAGACGCTTACTAAGCACTAGATAGCTTGCTCACTCGCATGATTACTAAGCGCTGGATCGCTTGCTAACTCGCATGCTTTCTCGCTCGCTCACTCGTACAAAAGCTTAGTAACTCACTAGCTTCCTCGCTTGCTCACTCACTCGCACACTCAGTCACACAGATGCACGCTTACTAACTCGCTAGCTTGCTCGCTCACACGCTCACTCACTTGCACGGACACTGATTAAGCGCTTGTTCGCTCACTCACTCGCTCACTCGCATGGGCGCTTCGTAACTTTCTCGCTCGCCCACTCACTCGCACGGACGCTTAATAAGCGCTAACTTGCCCACTCAATCACACGCTTACTTGCTCACTCATGATATGCTTGAATTGCCACGATTCAGATTCACAATTTGATTTTAAATAACAAATAGGTCACTACACTGCCATTGTTGTAAATGTAGATTTACTCAAAAAAACTGTACATAACTGTTTTTTTATGTTACCAACTTAGGCCCGCTGAGCTACGTAGCTCTTTTTCATAAGCGACTTGGCCACGTATGATAGCTCAACGAAGTGGCTTATCGTCACGTGGCAATACAGAGCAGTAGCCAAATACTATAAACGTGTGATGTTGATTCTAAATTTGGAGGGAATTTTCTGAGGACCCGGAGAAAAATCCACACGACCACAGGAAGAGAGGCATGCAAACTCCAAATATACGGGCATCATCAGGGTCGGGATCGAACCCATGACCACCTGTAAACCAGGCGAAGTAGTTACCATCGTGCCAATGTGAGATGGTCATGATGAGCTGGTGGTGATGGTTGTGGTGGTGATGTGCAGGGTTTGATCTTCCGGTTCAAGTTCCTGATGCTGACCACCTTGGGCTGTGCTGCTCTCACTGTCATCTTCTTCATCATCAGCCAGGTGTGTGTAGCACTCTTCGCCCCCACACATGTTGTATATATAGGTGTTATGAAAATTGATGAAAATAATGAAAATTAAATGAAATTTGAGATTTGCATAATTTATCCGAAATCATGTTAATTAGTGTAATTATGTGCATAAATTATGCTGATTCGAGAGATAATCGTATTAATTTATGCGAGTGGGCGTGGTTATGATAATGCAGGTCGTTATGGGTTATCAGGTCGAGCCTCGGTGACGAGGATTGTGTTATGAATTGGAATAACGCAATTAATCGTATGCAGTGACGCAGGCGTTGTGAGCGTGAATGAGAGAGAGACGATTCGACTCTGCTCTTCAATTCCGTATTATCGATAAGGATACGATTACTCTCGATTGAACATTACGGATTATGTGTGTTATGGATTATGTGGTGATAGTGTGCTTATGATAGGTCCCCAGGATTCAGATCTCATACGCAGAACAATATTATGCAGAATTTCAGGAAGAATCACACACAAACCTTCTGCTTTAATCAATTTTATTTCTAGCTAACTTTAATTTTTGGATAATTTGAAAAACTCAATCTCGGGATTTGGAATTTCAACACAGCGTTAACACGATACCATCACGATTGCGTTGTTTCACCTCGATAGCGGCACCTGTGGTTAATTCCTGACGTGTAACGCAATCGATCGGTTGTTGAGAGAGAGATTAAAAACAAGTGAACTATTCTATCAAAACCTTAACCTTATAATGTGAATTCGTATTTAAACATTGCCCACAGAGTACCACATCCATTCATAGACCTTCAAGTCAATTCTTATCACGTTTTTAACAGTAGGACGATTGGTTATTATGCAACTCAATGACAGCAGTATTTTTCGTTATGAATTGATTTTTAATGCCGCACCTTGGAGTGGCAACCCTTCTTGATTATCCCGATATGCGTATCGTGTCTTCGTTATCACTGGTTCAATTCTTTGCGTAAAGCAGACGCCGAGGTTAGCATCTCGTGTGTCCAAAATGTGTTTCCTGTGTGTTGCGGCGCGGTGGGGGAGTGAGGGGAAGAGTGTGGGGGAGGGGTTGGGGCATACGAACGGCTGCCAGTTTCTGTCCACTGCTGGCTGGAAGAGTCAGCACGACGCTCGCCGTCGTCGCGCCGATGGGCGTTGAGTGCGGGGCCGCTTCCCTCTCAGCCCTGGTGACGCGAAGTTGCGCGCTGTAGCACGCTGGTGGCACGCTGTTGGCACGCGCTGGTGCTGATGCAGGTGCTGATGGCACGCTGGTGGCGCGCGCTGGTGCTGATGCAGGTGCTGATGGCACGCTGGTGGCACGCGCTGGTGCTGATGCAGGTGCTGATGGCACGCTGGTGGCGCGCGCTCCCTCTCCTTGAAGATGCGCGAACGCGCCCGTGCTGGTTCGCTGACAGCAGTTTCTCTCCACTGCTGGCTGAGCTGCTGCACGCTCTTGCTTGGCGTTGCTGGCCGCGCTCTTTCTCCTTGAAGATGCGCGAACGCTTCCGTGCTGATTCGCTGACAGCAGTTTCCTCCACTGCTGGATGAGCTACGCCGGCGCGCGCTCTTTCCGCTGCTGTAGTAGCTGACGCTGCGCTCGCGAGCGACAGGTCAAGTTTTTTCTTCTGCTGAGTTGAGTTGAGATGAGTCTTCTTCTGTTGAGCTGAGTTGAGATGAGTCTTCTTCTGTTGAGCTGCCCCCGAGGGCTGATGAGTTGGCCCCGAGGGCTGATGAGCTGGTTTCAATGCTGAAACGGCTCCTTTTTATGCCAAAAATCTCTCCCCTTCTCGGCTCCCCCTCACGAGGTGGAGCTATCTTTGATCTGATCGTATGTCGGTGGGGGGGGTTCGTGTGTCGGTGGTGGGGGGGGTTCGTGTGTCAGTGTGTATGTTTGTGTGTGTGTCATTTATGACATGGCTCTGTTGGGGTCTTTCCTCAAGCCATAAACATCAAGACAACAGACACCTCGATTCATCTTGGTGGCGTCTGGTTGTCTAATCCCTCCACCCAGAGAGAGGGGCGGGTTCCCCCCCCCCTTTTCCGTACGCGTTCCGACGCACAAAGAAATGGTTAAGATTTTTTTTTAAGTTTAACATTTCACATCACAGTTGGTATCTTATCATACACAGTTATGATCCTGCTTGTGATTCATAGTATTTGATTTATTTCCAAGTGAAGATGCTCTTCCGAGCGTATGCATTTTATCACGTTCTGCAGGGAAAGACAAAGGTGGCCGGGAGCACCTCTTTATACTTTTGACTTATATTGCTCAAATACCATTTGGTCCCATGTTCGCCAAGACTCGTGTTTGTAACTGCGTCCTCCCGACACCTCTCGGTTTTACCGAGGTTCGAATTGTTATGATGGAATTATTAAAAAGAAAAATAATTATCATCCTGAGTTTAAGAGGTCCGTTTCTTGATTGTTGGAATCCATATCCCTTGGTTCTGTAAGGTTCTATAATGGAATATCGTTTAAGGTTAACACATTATTATTAATGTTATTTTGCAATTTCTTTAAAACTTGTTTGTCTGGTTGCCGTGTGTGGGGTGGGTGTGTCTCCTCATCAAACCCGGCTGGCTTTTCCAGATGGCCCCTTGTGATAAGGTGTAATTCCTGCTTCTCCGCGCTGTGAGAGAGACAAAGATGGTCGGGGTTGCTTGGGATATTGTTTAAACTCTTTCGTAAGTTTGCCCGTTCGCCTCATTCCTTCTCGATAACCTTTGATGTGACTCGGTATTTTGTCTCCAAGCTTTGCTTTAACAGTAAAAGTATTAAAGGTGAAAATCATTTGATAGCGAATTAATTATTGGATAATAATTAACTGATGTGTCTGGTGGCCTGTTCTTAATTGGAGTGAGCGTTAGGCTCGCTACTTTTATCTTATTCTTGTTGTTGCCTTTTAATTTTTGTTGTTGTTGTTTTACTGGAAAATAAGGAAAATAATATGTATACGATTTACCCTGTTGGCGTCTGGTGTCTGCTCTCTTGGTGTTCTGACCTCGGAGGGACCTTTCCTAAGGGGCCCATCAAACTCTTGTTCATCTGGAGATTTTCGCCGATAGCTGTTACATCCTCGCCTTGAGAGTTTTATTATTTCTTTATTCTTTAATGGTCTGTTTATGACCGACATCTGGTTTTTCGTGTTTCTGGCTTACTGGTTTGATTCATTAAAAAATATATATATATATTGTTTGTCACGAAAGAAAGGAAAAAGAAATCTAGGTGTATGCATCCGTAAATATTCTTATGGATATTAATTGTGGAAAAAGGGCCGTATACAACATTCCGCCCTTTTAAAAATGATCGGTGGTCTGCCACCGGTTATTTTTAATATTAAAGAAAAATGCCTTTTTCCACCATGAACTATCGATTGTCTTCAAGTTTGTGATTTTTCCTTACAACGCGCGCGTACGTGTCACAACTTAGCATGATTACATTTGAAATAAGAAAATAAAAGAACAGGAAAAAGAGAAAAATTAAGGCAACATGTTACATCGGGTCTTATCAATTATTGCTTTGATTTTTGTTTCAGTTCCTGGGAAACACTGGATAGCGGTTTCGAGCCCGGTGGTACACCGTTTCCCTCCTGGCATCTCTTTGTTTAATGTTTACCAAGTTATTGGCAACCTTACTGCCACGTTTGGTCAAAAGTACAGAATAATTTTTCTCATGACCAGGTATTTTCGAGTAACCTGTGACCTTTCCATGCAACATCATCACATCGTCGTTTTGGTTTATCGTCGGTATGGATTTAGCCAAATGAGCACGGTTCCTTGGTTCGTATCGGTAATTTTTTTTATCTCTCGCCTTCCCTGTGGGTTTATGTGGCGTGAAGCCATGTCGAGCGCCACCAGGATTAGTACACAACACGAGTTTCTGTGCTCGACTGTTGGGGTCATTTGCCTTCTCCGCAGCCATGTGCAGATTTGCTGACTCCGTACCACGATCCAATTCCTTGCCTCGATTCGATTCCATGTTTTTGCGTGTGCTGGATTTCCACACATTCCCCAATCCATCATGGATTTTTGTCTCCGTAACGCGTTTCCCTGGCACTTTTACTGTACTCTCACGCAATTTTGCGACACAATTGATCGCGTTTCCATTTACCAAACAAGCATGTTTCTCCTCCCGATCCTGTTGGTTATCATTTCCTGTTAGATCACGCTTCATGGTTAATTTTCCTTGTTCAATAGGTGTGTTCACCACGGGAGCGACTCTCGCGTTCCCCACCACATCAAAGCGTGTGCATGGCGCATTTAGTTTTCCACAATCATGGTTCCCCTCTTGGTTCTGTTTGTAACCTCCAGCCTGCTTGATTTTTTCCAAGGGCTGTGATTTTTTTTTCAGATCAGCGGACACCTCTTTCCCTGTCATTTTCCTCTCAACCAGTGTGAGCGATTTATCACGTGCCCATGTCACCCTCTTTGTTACAGCCAAGCCATGTGTGCCCCTTGTGTATCGTGGAATGGGGAATCGGCGTGATTCTGCTCTTGGCCTATACACGCCGTGATTCTCGCGATTATGTGTCTTTGTGTGTCGTGGCCGCCCATTCTCTATGTGCCACTGTCGACCGTAATTGTTATCTCGCCATCTGTGTGGGTAATTTTGGCCGGCTGTGTGCCGCTGCATTGGGTGAAGATATGGTCCTGCTCTTTGCTTCCACCCGTGGCGATTGTCGCAAATACGCGTCTCTGCACGCTGCGAACGCTCTCGGTCTGTGTGCCGTGGAATTGAGCACTGGTCTGACTTTGCTCGTGGTCTCCACACGTTGCGATTCTCGCAAATACGCGTCCCTGCATGCTGCGATCGCTCCTGGTCTGCGTGCCATTGTCTCGTGTAATTGTTATTTGACCACCCGTGTATGTAATTATGTTGGTAATCCGTGGGTGCTTTTTGTTTTCTGCACTGTGGGCCTGCGTGCATCAAATGCCTCACATGTTTTTTATTTTCGTCTGATAGGCTGGTTGCCTTGTCCCGTTCACTGTGTGCTGTGAAATCATT